TATATATATATATATATATATATATATATATATATATATATTTGAGTTTATATATCAAACATTTTTTTTATCATAAATAGCATGTATCAAAAATTTAACAATAAAGAATTTCTAACTAATTTAGTATTTTCTTAAACATTTAAAAAAAAATGGATTCATCACTCGTAATAAGAACGTATTAAAAATCTATCTTCAAGTGTATGGAATGCTAAATATATCAACCAATAAGTTGAATCTATTTTGTCATTCTAACGAAGAATATTCATAAAATTTTGGAACTTAAATTTAAATAAGATGTTTAAACATGACAAACTTGAAATTAATGATTTCATGTTAGCTGAATGTTGGTAAAAGGGAACTATCCTCTCCGATAACATTTTTGTTAAATTAAATGCTATTCTTACCCTTAGAAAGTTTTTTTACTAAATATGTTTTTATATGAAGTGGAGGTTTTACAAAGTTAATGGTGAATCAAACTTGAACAATCTCATTTTCTTCATGAAATGAAAATGTGTAAATATGGTTACATGATAACAAATTTATAAGCATGAAATATATATTACCTAATCCAATTGTCATTCATAATAAACAATAAAAATTATTCGAAGTAATATTAGAGAAATAGTTAAATACTTGAAGTGAAAATTAAAGTGATTACAAAAATTATAAACATTATACAGTGTACTTCACGTAACAGTATTTAGAAAGATTAGTTATAAAATTTTTTTACAATAAAAATATCATATTATTTTGTGATTGGTTGAAAATCATTTCAAAATTAATCATAATAATTATAAATAATAATTATAAACACTAGTTTAAAAATACGTGAATTATATTAAAATATTATAAAAAAAAATTATGAAAATATATTATCCAATTTAAAATGGTTTCTTGCAACTCACCTATACTTCATCAATAAATTATATACTGTCGCACTCACGTGCATTATTAATGCATGCTATTTTCACCCACAAATTTTATCACTATTATTAAAAATATATAATCATCAATGTCAAATTGCTGGAACTGGAAATTTCAGAATTTCATTATTAAATATAGGGTATAATCAGTAATAAATAAATACTTACTTTATCTAAATAAATTATTGTATCTGTCAGTGTTATAGTTAAGGAGTTTGAGTTTAGAAATATTCCAATAAAGTCAACTGTACAGCAATATTATCTATTTGATATCTCTTCCAAAGAATTTAGTAGGACGAATTAATTATATCTTAATACAGATGTGTTTATAATATTTTAATACTCGCTTTTATTAAGTTTAATAAATAAATAATAAATCGATAAAAAATAATATATGTTATGTTAAAATATTATTAAATGAAAAAATAATACATATACTGTATCATAATGTTATAAAAAATCTGTGCCAAAATATTTTTTCTTTCCATTAAAGATTGAAGTGATTTTTATTTTATTTTACATAAGTATTGCTTGGAGTCTTTATGTTTTTATAATTAAAGATTGATTTCTTTAAAATATAGAAATCGTTGAAGTGAATTTTACCTTTTTTTTTTTTTTACTTAAGAACTTGTTATTATTTATTAACGTGACTGAACAATAGTACAATTTACAAGTCGTTTGTTATTAGTATTTAAGACGACTAAATAATGGTACAAATTTCAAGTCGTTTGGAGAAAAAACTTTCAAATTCTACCACGAAAATAAAATGCTTTTACAGTTAGTATTAATTAATCTTTATCACTGATGTTTTAGTTCATCTTTATGCACTTGTTCGGAGTGGTAAAATTGATAAATGTAGTAAATTCTGATCTAATAATTAGTCATCCATATACTCAAACTGAATCAGAATGCATCTATTCATTAATTATTTATTAATTATGAACGAGTTGGGTATTTCTCAATACATCTTTAGCCATCAACATAAATTTTCTAAGATTTAAAAAATCAGTTTTCAAAGTTAGGTACTATATATTTGTTCTCTCTTAACTTAGACATCATTAGTTCATTAAACAAATGTATTAATGTTGTTTATAATTTGTTGTATAGATTGTCTAGTGATTAGCGTGTATCGCCCTTTGTTTGTGTAGATCGAAAACTTCTATTAAGGTATAGATCACTGACTAGTTTAGTTAAGTATATAAAAGGCATGAATTTATTGGAGTGATTAAGTAATTAATTATAACAAATATAAAGAAAATCTTGTTTCAATATTGAAGCTTGTTAACATTGTAATTGTTGAATTAAGGTGGTATTAATATGCAACTGTTGAGTCAGTCTGTTAGAGTGATGTTTAAGGCGTTAATTAAGAAATGAGTGGATAAAAAATATTTAAAAAGGAGTGAGGATAATAAAAAACTTATTGTTGAGTTGATGTCTTTGACTTAGCTTTTAACTATTTTAGCTTTTATGAGTCTGGGCCTTTCTTCCTGTCTGGTCTTTGCAGATTAATGTCACACGCAAAGCAGTAACTGTTTCCTTTCAGAAACATAGACAAGAGTGAATGCATACTCAGAGTGTTGAGACCGATGGAAAATAGAGCCTAAGCATTCTTCAGCGACTGGTTTCTTTGTTGAGAGAGATTCATGATAATGACCCATAACTTCCATTTTCAGGGCCCCCCGTTTAAAAAGACTCGACCTTTATCACACACTATGTGTTTTCTGGTTGCAAGAAAGAGACTTTAAAATGGGGTTCTTCTTCAGATGATGGACTTTGTTTCTGCTTCAGATTTGGGTTCTTGAGAGAAAGTAACTGTCAACAGGATCTCATTGTTTGATACGGCCAACGTTATAATGGAGGTTCACAGAAGACGTTTCAAGGGAAGCTTTCTTAGCTTCTTTGACTGGAATGCTAAATATCAAAAGAAGCACCTTTCTCACGATCCTAAGTTGCCTGGTAATTATCGTCGGCCTCTTGTATATATGTATTTATTGTTCTTATTTGTTGCACTTCTGTCTTGCTTGCTTTGTTCAAATGTTGTGTACCTTTTTCAATCATTAGTTATTGTATGGGAGTGAAGTGAGTCTGATTGGCCTGTTCTAAACATTTATGCTGCATGTACTGTAGAAATTTCAAAGCAAGGAAAGGAAAACGTGGACAATTTGCCAAAGTCAGAGGTCAATGAGGTGTGAATTTGTTCAGCCTTTCACAATCCCAGAGTTATTTGTAACTTTTCTGTTCTTGTTTTTTCTGCCCTTCTTTCATGATACGGTTTATTTTTTGTTGGTTGTTGCAATTGTTTCAGATGAAAATGAATGACAATGGAGCAAATCCTGCAAGTTCTGATTTTGATTGTGCCATATCAATTAGTAGTGATGAAGGGTGTCAGACTAAAGCCCCAGGGTTACTAGCCAGACTCATGGGTTTGGATTCACTGCCAGTTTCAAATGTCTCTGAGCTATCTTCATTATCCACTTCCTTATATGGCTCCAACTCTCTTGAATCTTCTCGTACTCCTGATGAGGATGTTCTTCTCTCAACGGTTGACCATTGTTGTAATGTTGATTCGATAAACATGGGACTTAAGTCGGTGAAGTCTTCTTGGAGTGTCATGGAATCAAAAGAGAGAAATCCAGCCATGAAAAGATTTCAGACTGAAATGCTGCCTCCAAGGTCTGCCAAAACCATTCCAGTTACTCACGACAAACTTTTGTCTCAACCTAAGCATGCAGCTCAAATTATGGAGGCAGCTGCCAAAATAATTGAGGTAAGTCCCCAGCCATGTAAGAGGAACAGAATGTCTTCAACTGGACCTTCATCTGTACCCTTAAGAATTCTTGAACTCAAAGAGAAATTGGAAGCTTCCCAACATGAATCCAAGTTCACAGGTAAGCACACTGCTAACCCTCTGAATGGCAAGCCTAGTGAGAGGAGAAATAGTTTATGTAAATCTACTCCAAGTTCAACAGGTTCAAGAGATTCAGAAAAAAACAGTTCTTGCCGGTTGCCAAGCAAAAGAAAATCTGCTTCACTTGCAATTCCATCTAGAACCAATGTTCAGAACTGTGATGAATTGACTTTGAATGGTAATAGGGGATGTGTGAAGCAGAAGGAACATAATGATATCAAATCAAACCAGTTGTCTCGGAGCCAGAAGAAACGAAGTACAGACCGAGCCAGAGTCATTCAGCAGAAAGCTTGTAATGGCCAGAATAGTAATGTGCTTGGGAAGAATAACCAAAAACTGTGTAGTGAAACCACCAAAAGTAACCCGACTTCCAAGGCATACTCGCATAAACCAACACAAAATTGGTCTTCAGAAAGTTCTACTAGAGCAAAGAAGACCACAAAAAGGGGTGTTGTAAAAGCCAACACTGAGCCCAAAGGGTCAGACACAAGGGTAATAGGTGCTACCAAACCAGTTTCCAAAAGAAAGAGCATTTCCCAAAAGAAAAACTATATGAATAGGGATGTTCACAATGAGGCAAGAGGCACTGATACTGCGGCTAATAATTATGAAAACAAGTCTATAAAATGCAATATTACAACTGACGGAAGTATTAACCAGGATGCATTTAGTATGAAAGGAAGCAATGGTGTGATTTCATTTATATTTACATCTCCTTTGAGAAGAAAAAGTCCTGAGTTACAGTCCTCCATTGAGAAAATGGTGGAAACAAGGAACAAAACTGATGTCAATTCTTGTAGCAATAATGATATGCTCAATCCCAGAAAATCATCATTATCTCCTCCCAGGTTACATGTTATAGATGGTGAGGCTTTAAGTGTCCTTTTGGAGAGAAAGCTGCAAGAATTGACATCTAGAATTAACCCAACTCAATGCTCTGTGATGAAAGAATGGTCTTCTGCTGGTTTGGAAGACAGAAGTTTTCACCCCAACCTGGTTAGTAATAAATTGGACAGCAGGCATGACAATTGTTTGTCAAGTGATAGCATGGTGCTTAGTATGAATCAGCAACCACAGGTCTCTCTTTCATTTCTTTTATACTGTCAGTTTCATCCATTATGGATTTTTTATTTTTTTGCAATTTTGAATTGTAAAAATATTAGTATGTTATCCTCGGTAACTACCTGACATCAATTGTCAAAGGGGATATATTTTAGGGTTTTGGTAGGGAAGGAGGATGGTATGGGGATTTGTCTGATACGATCTGCATACTATTAAGTCATTCATTTCAAATTTAATTAAATATTTGATATTTTTTGAAGTTTGAACTGAAAAGAACCGTATAGCAATCAATTACTCCTCCATTGTGCAGACATCAGAATCAATAGAAGGGCCTAGCTGCAGCAGCAACAGCGAAAGCAGAAATGAAAGTTACTTAGATAGTGCATATGGTAATGCCTTAGTATTTATTTTTTTTGCACTTCCTTGAGCTTATTTTTTATCCAAATCTAAAAGAAAAACCAGTAGCTTCGCTTTCTTATAGATTTATAATTGAATACTGCATCAAGTTTATGAATATTCAAGCAGGGAGAGGAGTTATTAGAACAGTCACTGAGCTAGATGTGGCAATGAAACTATGCAGACGTTGCAGAAAATTCTAAATAACTGTCCAATTTTGCTTTACAATGGAATCTTTATTGCAGTTTCAATTGAATGTCTAACATCCAGCTCGCCATGCATGTACTATGAAGATAATTCATCAAATTTAGGTCATGAAAAAATAACTGTTAGAAACTTTCTGGGTTCCTAAGCACAATTGCAAAGGCTCATAAAATATTAACACCCATCCATATTTACTCTCTTTTTAGGCAGCACAGTTTATTCTTCCATGCAAGATGAAGAGGTATCTGATTTTTCTCCAATGAATGAATCTCTGAGGTCTGAGCAAAGCTCTTGCATAATGATGGGAGATGACATGATTGCCATTGAACAATCAAGTATAATGTCAAATTCAGTCGAGTTTACAAGATTATCTAGGAACGTGGAATTTGAATACGTAAAGGATATACTCAACAGTGCAGAGCTGGTGACAGAAAAATTTCTGATGGGTGAGACAGATAAGATCATAATGCCAAATCTCTTTGATCTGTTGGAGACTAAGAGCACTGTGGCAGAAAGCTATGAAGAGTACTATAAGATCGAGAGAAAGGTTATATTTGACACAGTGAGTGAATGCTTAGAGTTAAGATGTAGAAAAGTTTTTGTTGGAAGCTGCAAAGCAATGCCTAAATGGATGGCTTCAGTTCAGAAGAAGAGCTCTTTAGCTGAAGATTTGTACAAGGAAATGTTGAACCTTAGGAGCATGGAAGAATCAGTGGTGGAGGAACTAGTCTACAAGGACATGAGTACTCCATGGGGTAGATGGCTTGAGTTTGACACTGAAGCATTTGAAGAGGGTTTAGAACTTGAATTTGATGTTTTCACATGTTTGATTAACGAATTGGTTTCTGATTTGTTGCAGTTTTAATTCCTCAGCGACATTTTTCACAATATATGTATACGTAATCACATGGTAGGCTTTGTAATAGTTTTATATTATTGTAAACAACCATACCATCAAAGTTTCCTTGTAGGATCTTTCATTGGATACTCATTATTTTTATGCTTATTGACTGGTAGAATTTATCTTAATACTTAAAAGGTCTAATAGTGTATTATTCTCCCTTGTCTCAAATTTTTGTCCTTTAAAAAAAACAATGTTACTTGTTAATTGATAGTTAAGTTTAAATCAATTAATCTTGTGTGATAAAATGGTCCTAAATAAATAATTTGAGCGAGATTACACATATTATATTTGTATAAATGTTGATTACCTCATACACAAATACTAACTAACAGGAAAGTGCATTGGAGTATAAACATAATAAACATGCAGATATAATTTGGTAAAGAACACAAAATATATGATAAGCTTGAAATTTAAAACAGACACAACTACCCAATTATAAGTGCATTGAATTGAACAGCTTCTCTGCAAATGTTTGTATAGACTTGAGACAATAGGGTTGCAGCCATGACCCATCAAACTCGGATGATTGTCTCCTTGTGTATACCGTTATGCTTGCCCATTAGCATTGTTTTCACATATTTAGAATGATCAATATCTCTTTGTATTGTGCTTTGATACTCGTGATAAAAAGGGTTGCCAACCATGATTCAATTTGTTTTAATAGTATCTTTGTTAATGTTTCAGCTTTTTTTTTATTCTCTTACTTCTCGTAATGATCCGGGTTATTCAGAAATATTTGCAATTTAAGAGAAAATTAAATTAAAATATGGAAGATAATATTGACTAGAGATAAAAATTAGATTATAATATATAAATTGATATAAATTTCATTGTTTCGATTTAAAGGTTGATCAATGAGAATCAATCTTCCAAAACTTCTTTAAGTCTATTTCCCTATTCTTTCACACATTGAAACGAAAGTATTTTGAATTTTTATTTATAATTTTTTTAATAGGCTTTTGATTATAGCATGCTTAATTACGATTCAAATTTTTTTAATCTTGGTTAGGGATTTAATCAAATGATATTCTACCTTAAACCATTTGACTTTGGTAGTTCAATTTTTCTGAGTTGATTAGTCACTTTTTAAGAGTCGATCCTTCAAAAATTCTTACTTCAAACTATTTCTTATTTGTTTACCATCTTCAGGGATACCTTGGACTTCTATTTATAGTTTTTTTAACGAGTTTTTTTTATTATAGTATGCCTAATTAGAGCCTAAATTCCTCTAATCTTTATTAGAGACTTAATCAAAATTATTTTTTATTTTAAACTATTTGATCTTAGTTGTTCGATTTTTCTAATAAAAAACACTTAAGTTCAACTAACTGACTTTCCTACAGTTCAATCACATCGTAATTAGACGGATCATAGTGTACATAAAGAATTGTAATGAATGAGAGAGAATCATTTCTTCAAATTTAGTGGAAGCTAGTGAACTTATAAATGTTTATGCTCTTTCACATCATGACTAGACAATTCATATTGTACACTTATTTTATAATTCAGTTCTATGAGATTAACTTAAGTTTAAAGTCTACTTCTTAGTATGTTATGAAAATCAATCCTTGTACATTGAGTTTATTGAATTATCACCTTTGAAAGTATATATTTCAACATAAAGTAGAGCATAAAGTTAAAGTCTACTTCTACATCTTAAAAATCCAAGAGGACCAAGTTGAGTTGTTTTTGTTTTTCTTTGTGATGTACACAAGAAACGTACATTGATGAGTTTACATTGATGAACTCATAAACGATAACTGAAACAAGTTAACCCATCATAGACCCAAAGCATGAATGTGTTGAACAGTGGGCCAAGGAAGAAAAGAAACACGGGTGAATCCAAAGAAAATTGCAGGCATTAAACAAAGAAAATAATAGTTTTTGGATTGTAATGAAAACGAAGGAGGTTGTTATTGGTGCGCACATGGGTCCTCTCCGAGGGTGAGGTGAGAGAGAAAAAGTGGTCTTGACTTTTTCAAGCTCATGCAGTTGTTGAGAGAGAGAGAGAGAGGAGAATGGGTGAATGTTATTGTGTGATTTTTGCCTTCATTGTCAACGCACTACACATGTCATAACACAACAATCAATCTATTTCTAACCTCAAACCATTTATTACAACACAACATCGCATGTGGTTTCTTTCTTATTTCCTTGTCTTTCTGTTACCTTTCTCCTTCCTTCCATCTTCTCAGATCTGCCATCAACTTCCCCCAACACACATATCCTTTCTCACATCACACCCACTTACATTCATCAACCCTATGCATACCACATTCCAAAACTATTCAAACTGAAAACTACTTCCATGTCCAATTCCACCACATCCTCTACTACTTACAACAAATCTACGTATATTATTATATTAAGGTTGTCACAAAAGAAATGGGAGTGAATCGATTTGGCATTCAAATAATTTTGATATCAAGAGTTGAACTCTAAATCTGATTCAAGGTAGAAAATCATATTATAACTATTTATATATTATAATATCCTTTTATTTTTAATTAATATAAATTTTTTAATATATTATTTATATAATATAAAACTACATAATAATAATAATTTGATACCAGTGATATAATAAATTAATAAACAATAAAATAGATTTTCGACTATTCTAATATTATTTTATAAAATAATTTTGTTCAAATCAATTTTATAAATCAATACCAAATTATATATATTAAATTCATATTTGAGGGGATGTTAAAAAGTACAACACTTTGTAATACTACTTATTTTTATAACAACTATTTAAAAAAATAATTTAAAATTACTTACACTTATTAAAGTAGAAAGTATTTAGAAAATATAAAGGAATGGGCATCTTCCTCCGAGTTGCATTCACCTTTTCTAATGAAACTCAATTATTAACTGACATCGAATTGGATAAGAATAGCTACATTTCTAATTTAGATTAGATTTCCGTACTCCAAATTATTTGCTGGTAACGTTGGATGGGAAAATGATAAGTGGACTAATTAAAATAATGAATTATATAATTATTTTTTAGTTAGAACATGTTTTAAAATTATAAAGAAATTTTAGAAGAATATATTCCCTTTAAGAAATTAACAGAATGAACTTGTTTGTTTAAAAGTTTTGTAGGAAGAAAAAAGAGATACAGGTAATGTTATTTGGTAACAGTGATTCCATGTGAGTGATGAAGAAGAGGTAATGTTCCATCCCAAGTAAGCCACTGATATTCTTTCTTTGATTTCTTGGGTTTGGAGAAAACTGAAAAGAGTCTCTGCTTTCTATGATGTTCAGTTTTTCACAGATTAATATGCTATGTATCTTCTTTCTAGATCATTAATTTAATCCATTTTTTAATTGCAGAATTATGCTATTATTAGAGAATGCTCAACACACCCACCGGAACTGCGGGAGCATCCTATGCTTTCTAATCTTCTCAATTATTTCATTAATTTTACAATTACCATTATTAATCAATAATATTTATATATTTTACTCAACAACTAAAATACCTTATAAATTCTCGATGTGACCCAAACTGAACACTGCATTGATATTTACAACTTGCAAGCATTAATTTGCATGTCTTGATTCATTACTGTATATAAAAAAAATAAGTCAACATTTCAATAACGCGTGGGTTCTGAATCTTACAAAAAGAAACACAAAAAATTAAGCAAAGGAAAAAAGAATTCATAATTAAGTTTATATATTTTAAAATTGAAATATATAATGTTTTTGATTTAAATATGCGTCTTTTTTATGTTTCTAAATATCTTTAAAAATAAAACCGATCACATAATATAATTTTTCGTATCAGAAATAATACTTATCCGGCAGAAATAATACTTATCAATCCAACAGTTAGGAAGTAATAGTATTTAAACCAATTATTACTTTTTTCAAAAGTTAGAATGACTAGTATTATAATTCATACTCGATTAAGTTGTTTCGTCAGATATTCTATCTATCTTGGAAAAATTTATTAAATAATAGTTTTGACTCCTAAAATTATAAATATTAAAAAATAAATATAAATATGTGTAATATAAAAAGAATAATAAAACTGGTAAACATCTTATTGTCATGCTTGCTTATGCTAAAGTAATACAACATGTTTATAAAAAATGATAAGTAAATTTCTAAAAGAATATGATAGAGTATTATAAAAAATAGTATCATTAGTAAGAAAGAAAGATGACTAAGATACTTCTAAGGTGTTTTTTTTTTACTTTAACTTTTTGTTCTCTTCCTAAAAAAAATAAACCGGAGCAGTTACAAATTTTGAAAAAGATCTACGAGGAAATCATTATGATAATTATACACAAAAATAATTTGTTTAGTCTGATAATTTTATTTCTGTGATTTAAAATCATTTCTAAATAAAAATAAAATTACCCAAATTTTAAATTTCATCTTTGTCATGATAAATTTTAAATTAATCTCTAAATTTAAAAACTAATTTACATGCTAATTTCTTCATTTATAATTAATTTTGGAAATCGATTTAAATATTAATTCATAAATTTATTATAATTTTTTATTTATAATAAAGACTATTTTATATATAAATATCTTTTAATTTAATAAATTAGTTATTAATTATTTTTATTCTTTAAATTTGATTATTATTTATTTATTTGTTAATGTCTCACCATCATCATCCACATAAATTAACTAATTTAAGTTAATAACAGCGTAAACAAATTGTGTAAAATAAATAATAAAAAAATATTATTTTTTTATAAATGAATATTTTAAATAAACAATTGTTTTAAAAATTACATTATAAATGCAATTATATACAAGTTTAACCATTACCATTTCATTCATTTATTAGTAGGCTCAGAAGCCAAAAGTGAGTGGATAATTATTTTTTTTCTTGAATATGAGAAACAGGAAAAACCATCTGGAAGGTTTTGAAAGGAACTTATGGGACTTACATAATGTGAAATAAAAATAGACGTTAACAAAATTTTGTTTTATTTGAGTGGATGTATATACTTTTATTCAAATTTCTTAGGATTGAAAGTAACTTTTCTATATATTATATGTCTACTATTAGAGCAAAATTCGATAAATTTCTAGCACGTGTACACTCTTGACTAGTTTGTAGGTCTGATAATTTACTTTAAT